TGTGGAAAGGAACATACATTTGACATCGTCTAATTTTATTCTTCAAGATAGAGCAAAGGGATATACCTTGCTTTATGGTTGTTGGAAAATTTTCTATTTCAAAATTTGGTCTCATCATTATGTTTTTGGAGCAAGTATTTCATTATGAAAGAAATTAACTAAATTAAAACACTAAAATTGAATGAAAATCATTGTGTATCTCAAAAGTGTCAAGTTTTTAAAGATATGATATGCATATTTAAAAAGTTTATGATATATGCATGATCGGATTTGAAGCTAGGATCGCAAGGAGTTCATATGAATGTTTGTTTATTGAAAGCTTATACTATATATACAAAGTCAAAACTTTTTTCATATTAAATTCTTACGATTTCTTTGTATGTTTACCTATTTATATTAAAATTCGACAGCAATATCTTGTATATTACTATAATATTGCAAATATACTTGTGTACATGGGAAAAAAAGTCATTAAGCTAGGATCGCAAGGAGTTCATATGAATGTTTTTTTATTGAAATGTTATACTATATATACAAAGTCAAAACTTTTTTCATATTAAATTCTTACGATTTCTTTGTATGTTTACCTATTTATATTAAAATTCAACAGCAATATCTTGTATATTACTATAATATTGCAAATATACTTGTGTACATGGGCAAAAAAGTCATTACATTGCAATAGCAAAGATGAGCAACAAATAAATTAGAAGTTATATTTCACACAAGTTGAAAATAAAAACAAAGTATCATAACTGTCATCTTTTTTTCCCACAAAAAAAAATATTATTTAATTTGTGATGGGCATTTTCTTAAATGGGAATTTGACAAATGGATACTTGTAAAAGAAAAAAATGGTAAAAATAGTGAATTATTTGATCTTCCAAGGGTAAATTATGTAATTTAGTCACCAACATTCAATTTTTATTTTATTTTTTAATTTCCCCCAAATTCAATGTTGGTGTGATGAGATTTTTTTTTTTTAAAAAAATTTTTTTCCTACTTGTTTGGCGGCGATATTTTCTATAAATAATGGCATTAAATAATTTAGATTTTTAATGAGGGTATTAATGGGATTGTTGACCCTTTAAACATTTAATTTCCCCGCTTTACGAGGTCTGCAAGTAAGTTAATCAATCCGACAATTGCTTCAAGGCATATGTTTCCAATAATACCCCTAAACTATAATATCAATAACAAATTAAAAAAATAAAATAATAAATATTTATGATATGTGTTCCAACATTGTACTTAGACACGACATGACACAACTTCATATTACCAATGACATGATTCTAGATAAGAAAAAGTAGAAATCGTGTATTAGGGTAGAATATTGTCTTGCCTTGCAAATGTTTAGTCTTGATAGTGTCTGTCGTAGTATTAGTCGTACTCATATACTGTTTATAGTATTTCGATTATCATACTATTTGATTGTTATTATTGTTTCTTTACTGTAGACTTTACACAACTTTTCTTATTAACTGATATGATTTCTTCTTCTGTTACTTGAGTTTAACACACTTGAGCTAAAGATCTTTCAAAAACAGTCTCACTATCTCGTAGCGTACATTGTATTCTCCAGACCCCATCTAGTGGGATTTCACTAGATATGTTGTTGTTATTGTTATTGTATTCTACTCACCCATTATCAAAAGTCCGAGGCTCGAATTTTGAATATGAAGAAAATCTTAATAAGAAACGTTTTCCTTTTAACGAGTCATATACGACATAAATTTAAATTAATCGACACTTCAAATACAGAATATCGAACAATGAGTGAAAATTAAAAACAATTTAGTTTCAAAAGATAAATAAAGGACCATGCAAATGTCACAAATGTAACAAGAAGAATGGCTAGGAAGTTGAGGTCAACGCCATTTCTTTTGTCATTTTCATTATTTCTTTTTCAATAGATAAAACCAAAGAGCTTTTTAAAATTTTGCTATTAAATGATAAATAACTACAAATAATTTTTTCTATTAAATGATAAAATTTTGAAGTATCTAATTTACCAAAGAGTATGTAATTTATGAGTAAAATTGGATTAGGTCACATGTTTAATTAAACTTCAAAAAGGCAGCGCTGTTAACAATTGATTTTAATTAGCTATAATATCATATTTTTTTCACTTACACTTTAAGTCAAAGTCAAGAAAAGTACAAAGCACGTATAAATAAATATTGGATTATGTCACATGTTATATGATTTGTTTAATTTAAAATTATATAAGAGTTGAAAATGTGTTGTTAAATTTTACAAATTATGGGATTCTCTCATGTTTAGAAAAGAAAAAAAAACAACTATAAAAATTGATTTAACTTTGCTTAATACTTATTTAATTTTGTTCTTATTCATAAATAAAATAACTTTTATGTCACTTATTTTGTAACAGATGGAGTAATTTACTTTATAATTTTTTTTTTTGGTGCATGTCGGAATTTGCTCTTTATCGGAAACTTGATTTGTTTGTGTAATCTAGAGATGGTAAAATTAGTTTATGAAATTATAACTCACCCAACCTAGTCAAGCTTGAGATTATGAACTCTTATGAAATTTACTTTACAATATTCTTTCATAATACTAATAGATGAACTATTAAAATATAATCTTTGTAGCACTTGGCTTAGCAATCTTATTGATGGTTGTTACTAGAATTCAACAAATTATAGGAGTATCAACCTGGGTTGTGGTGCACTGCTAGGAGTGTTTCATCCTTAATCAGAGGTCTCAGGTTTGAGCTTTGGGTATGGAAAAAATCTTGGGAGCGCCATCCCCGAATGAGCTCTAGAGTGCACGATCAGATTTAGTCGGAGCTTCAATGTGGGCTCCGAACATCGGGTGGGAAACAAAAAAAAAACAAAAACAAATTATAGGAGTATTAATATCTATATTGAAGCTTGACTAAATTTAAATTTACGTCGAAAAGATTAAATCTATTAGGAGTAAAGCACTTGTATATCATAGTTATGCTATCAAATTAATCTTCCACTCATTCACTTGGCAAGTGAAGTGAGGTGTTGGGAGTTCGAATTAAATCCATATTAATAATAAAAGCGATTAGAAGCTATATATATATAAAATGTAGGTAGGATCTCTTAAGGCTAATTTATTTAAATAATATATTATATAACTTTATTTATGAGTTATAACACATGTTTTACTTAAAAGTTGTAATATATTTTTTACTTTTACAATAATTAACCTTAATTTCTTATCAGAAATAGCTCTCTCTCTCTATATAACACATTTTCAGCACAATTTTGATATAATAATACATACACTAATTTAAATAATATTTGAATACTTGAAATTAATGTATAATACATTTTTAACATCATTAATAAAAAAAAGTATATAACAATTATATAATTCATTTTGATTCAGTATTATATATATATATATATATATATA